GCGCCCCCCCCCCCCCCCCCTCCCCCCATCTCCCCCCATCGGTGTTTGCCATCGAGATTGAGTACACCCCTCTCCCCGTCACAACCTGGTCTTGCAGCGTATTTTGACCTTACCCCACTCGCTCCGCCTTGCTCTGAAATCCTTTTTCCACACAAAGGTGGACGCCCACGACTCGGAAGAGGCAGCACAGGAAGATGCGATGCTGCAGGCGGAAGGCGTCGCTGAAATTGAGGAGGAACTATCGACGCAAATCGCCGCAGTCGCGGATGGCATTGATCCGAAGAAAGAAGCTGCCAGGATCCGCGAACGACACATCCGCGATGCCGTGAGTTTCTTAGGGTCGACGAGTTGATGGTCTTCTTGGCACAACTGTTCGGCTTTTGTGATGCTCGTGCTGCGAGCGGACACTTGTAGCTGACGTACCATCAGTGAGGTATCTGGACAGTGAGGGTGTTGAACAGGTTCGAGTGGAACAACCGCAATGTCATGACGGCGTATCGAATGCGAGAAATGCTGAGCCTAGGCTAGTGATTTTTGGACACAAGCAAGATGATTACGACAGTTGAGGGTATGACCTGCGCCTGAACGTTTTGTTTGTGGATCAGGGGTAGGTATGTATTCTTGGTTACGTTCAAGCGAGCTTGATTGATGCTTGTACATGCTTTCCTTTCGACGCTGTATGCCAATAAATGCTCTCTCTTGTCGGGGTTCGTTAATTCGAACTCGAGACAAGGCGACTAGTTCTACCTCCGAACAGATAGCTCTACGTTAGCAAAGATGCACGCTAACCTACATTTGAAACATTGCCGGCTGTTGATGCGTCAGTATCCATCTTCGTTCTTGCAACGACTTTCTTTCAGGCTGCACTCGAGAAAGAGTTGAAGCAGCATTGCAGAGACCAGAGGGGTGCGTTGGCCAGCCGGCTCCGAAAGCGAAAAGCGGCCAAGGAAGAATTCCTCCGCCGCGCCGGTGCGGGGGAGGAAGAGACTGCTGCAGCGTTGCAAACTCTGGAATTCGAGGCGGAAAGGTGACGGCCGGGAATGAAGCCTGGACCACAGCCTGGATGCTGTATGTTTAGGGGCAACCGAGGAATATGCTGAGCCTGTATATGTGTTCCAGCCAAGAACTGAAATCAAGTACCGCATTCAACGCCTTCGCAGAATGACAAGTATCCTGTGCAGGGGAAGCCGCCCGGGCTGCTGGAATAGAACAACTCAAGAATACAGCACACACAAGGGCAACCTAACAGCGACGCCTGTCTTTAAGTTAATAACATTGCTTGCTCTTGAAGAAACTCCCCAGCTCTTCACTGTGGCAGCATCTACAGCTTATGGTACAACACAGGATCGGACTAATATCAATATGGAACCAGCAGAACGATTGCACCGTCTATGTGCACGGATTTGCAGTACATATGAAAACTTCGGGCAATGTGTCGTCTTCACGACCATGGCACCCATCTCCGACTGTCCACGAACTTCTTTCACGTCCCCCGTCTCCTCTAATTTGTCTCCTCTCGTGCAAAGAGATTTCGTCCAGCTCGAACAAGCCCTGAGTGCTTTGAAGGACACCGAGGCCACCAGCCAGAAGCAAGCAGCCGCGTTAGCGTCAGGCGAGGACGAGCACCCTCAATCCGGGCTCGCCGAGCTTCGCGCTCGGCACCAGGTGCGTCGTGCTCCTTTTCGTCGTTGCGCCCGACGTCCTACCAATGAGTTACTCCTTCTGAATGGCAACGGCACCAGGGACCCTCGCGCACCTGTTGGGACTAGTTTGTTCCCGCAAAAGGGTTCGCCAGGGTAGGAAGAGGGTCGACCGGGCGCTCGGCAGCCACTGCAAACATATTTGTGACGCGATGGCCCCTGGGGATTCTTCCGCTAAACAACCTCATCCAATCGTAACTAGGGGAGGTGTGCGAGTAGGTGGCGTGTACCCAAAGTCAGCCTGCCTGAGGTACAGTCAACGTCCAGGACGTGTCCGCAAATATGGCTATTTCCCCCCACCTTGTCGCATGTAATCGATGCTCTGCCTGCTGAACACTGCTACAGGAAAGCGAAAACTTCCTTAAGGATTCTCTCCGAGCGGAGGCCGGGGCGAGGCGGGCGCGAATGCGTCAGAGGATCGCCGCGCGCACGGCCGAGCGCGTCAAAGAGCTCACGGCACAACGCCGCGGCAAGGATGAGATCAACGCGGAGGTAGCTGCCATTCGAGACGCTGGTGAAGCCGAGGAGAACCGGCTTGAGGCGGTGAGTTTTGTTTTGTGTGAACTCAGCATTAGGCTCGTGAGAAGCGTGGCAGTAAGTGAGGTCGTGGTTGTTCGTACGATAATCACTGCGCCGGTGAGTGGTGTTTCTGTGAACTCAACATAATGCTCGTGAGAAGTATGGATGAAAATTTGAGCTTTTGGTTGTTTGTACGGCAATCACTTCACCGATTAATGCGAGGGGCCCGGAGGGCACGGGAGTGTATGACCGTCATCGGTGCTGGCGGATGTGACGGACGACGCCGGTTTTCGCCGGAATTCCTAGACGAGTGGAGCGAAATGATGACTGGATTCGTTGCTCCAACTTGCGGCCAACGAATTCACACCTGCGGGACAGCAGAACGCCCGTACAACCCTCCGCCCCCCCAACCTATCTCATCTGTACTCAACGATCTTCTTGCTGCCCGCCCGCCGGCCCTGATTCCTACCAACTCGACGTCCTTGCATATTGTCGAAAAATCGACAGGTCCTCGCCACTGAGGCCGAGGCTCGCATCCACGCCGCTCGCGAAACTGCCCTTGCCGCGGAGACAAGTCTTGAGGCGACGCAGGAAGAAGCGCGCGACCTCCGCAAGAACCACGAGAATGCCATGATCGCGCTTGCCGCCGAAATGGCCAAGAAGCAGCGGCAAGGCAAGGAAGGCGTAGCGGCCAGGCTACAGGTAAAGCAACGCGAGGCTGAAGTATTGTTGCACTAGGGCATGGGCAGTTCAATCCACGTGCAGTTTACAAGATGAACCCATATCGACGTCTACAGAGTTCTTCAAAGTGATCGCCGTACGATGGGGTAGAATATGATGATGCCCAAGGAATAACATCATGGCTAGATTCGTAGCAGTCAGAGCTGGTAATGCTGGAGTATTGACGTAGCTCTGGTGGGCAGGTTTGCAACGGTCAGGTGCGGATTCTTCGGTCTCGGTAAACGCTAACAACCTGACACAATGCATGTGCATCCGATGACCTATGTGCACCTTTGCTCTCAGGATGCGCACGCCATGTTCTGACTACTGCGAGGCTCCTTTTTCTTATCGCCTCATTTTCCCTTTGTCTCTTCCGAAATAGGCAAAGAAGGCTAGGCGGCTGGCAGAGTTGAAGAAAGCCAAAGCGAAGGATGACGAGGTGCAGGACGAGCTCGCCCGACTGGAGCAAGAAGCGGAGAGAGAGCAGAAAGAGGTTGAGGTAAGCACGTGATTTTCAGACTTGCGTTCGCAGATAGTCGTGGATCAACCTGGACTCGTTCGCGGCTTGTTTTATTCATGGCCTACTGCTGCGCACGCGACTTGTGTGCGACAAGCGAACTACCTGGCACTTAAGAAGAACAAGTGTCAAGATCGCTTAGGCTGCGGCGGAGAATCACAACGTAGAAGCTGGAAACTCATAGTCGTTACATCATCATTCGTTCGTTTGGCTTCTTGCAGCGTTTCGCCCACCAGCTTCGTGCTCTCTGACCTTGGGTATTGAGCACCAGGAGGTTTAATGCAACGGGGCATGTATCCGTTGCATAGTTAGTTGATGAATCTGACTGGGAAGGCTGTACGTCAATCCACACCTGAAACTGTCCACTTGGCAACCTTGCGTTTGCTGCCAACAGGCGGACATCGAGCAGGAGGCCGCGATTCTTGAACAGGCTGAAGCGAAGATGCTCGCCAGGCGAGAAGCCGAGGTAAGTGAACAATGGAGAAATTCGATTTGAACAGGCAAACTTTCCTCTAACAAGGCTGCCGAGAAACAGCAATTTCAGGTATTCAGAGGTCACCGATCAACATATGTGTCTCGCGCCCTCTCCCGCCCCGTGCTCGACGTTTTCCCATGCTCTTCAACTAGCCTTCGAATCTAGGGTCCACTCGTTGTATTTCTATAATCTCCTCATCATTCAACCAAACTTGTCTCCCATGCCACTCTTTGTTGTAGGCTCGCGCCACCCGGCTGACGGCTGAAAGTTCTAGACGAGCAGGCGAGCTAGAGCTCCAGAAGATACGTCAGGCGCATGACGAAAACCAGGTGAAAATTCGGGATGCATTCGAGGAGAGGAAGGAGTGCAGGCAGTGCTTTCCTCGTGTCCAATTCAACAAGGGAGGGAAACGTAGTTCATCTACAACGTGTGGTGATACTCATGTACGCTGCAGAATGCGAAACATGCCAAAACGCCGAAATATTGCACGTACGAACTGCCTCAAGTTAGCACATGCAGGTCACTAGCGAGCCGGGCATTCACACGCACAAACCTTATTTCACCACCCACCTGTAGTACTAGTAAGCTTACTCAGCTCACTACTTCGGATCGATCCAACGCACCGTAGATAGCGTTACGAACCTCAAGGGACAAAGACGTACAGCGACCTAACACGGCTGCACGCCACACTTGCTCAGTTTTAAACAGCGAAATTTGATCAACCCAACATTTTGACACTTTGCAGAGGATTCTAGAAGAAGCTCAGGAGAACAAGCGGAAGCTTCGCCAGCGCGCGTTGGCGGAGAGGCTGGAGCGCCGACGCCAGGAGAAGATGAACGCCGCCATCGCTGCTTCAGAAAGCGCCGAAGCTCAGCAGAAGGTGAATGCTGGCACTCCATGTGTTGTGTGTTTGGAAATGGTGTGTGGAGGATCGTTGGTTAGCGGGTTTGGGATACTGAGTGAATCCCAACCCGGTGGAACGTCTGAAATCTGTGTGGCCTAACGTAACTTACTTCCCCGCCGACTACGTTTCCCCCCGCCTTCTGTCTCTTCCCCCCTTCGGTATACTTCGTCATGATTATTACTACCTCTCGGCTTTGTGAAGTGAGGTATCAAACATGGACGATGGCCGCAGAAATATTGGTGGTGCAGTGTACTTCATCCACCTGTCTCCACCCGTCTCGTCTTGAGGGTGTCTGTATCATCTACTCCATCCTACCGCACATCTTCTAATAAACACCAACCAGTTGGCTGCTTCCTTGGAGCAAGAGAGGGTTGCAGCTAGCGCGGAGTTGGAGGAAGAATTGGTCAAGGAAGCATGCCAAGAGCTGGAAGTGCATGCGCAACGACAAGCAAGGTGATTCGCTGATTCTCGCGGTGCCATATCACAACTTCACCTCTTCTGAAAGTGTCTTCGTAGGGTGGCAACTTCGTCATAGTGACGATATTTATTGTCGGAGAATGAAAAAGGGCTAGAAATTGATGGTTGGAGGTGATCCGATGGTTTGACATTATGTTGATGCACGACATGATGTGCGCAGAGCCGAGCATGCCGCCCGGATGTCGGCCAAGAATGCTATCGACGAGGCTGAGAAGAGGGCAAAGCTCGCCAGGGAGGAGCATGAGGAGTCTACCAAGGAACTCGACATGCAACTGGCGGCGGCAAGGGTAAGATTGGCCGTCCAAAATCAAGTTTAACGCAAACGGACGAAGTGGCACCAACCGCGCCTCAGCAACGACGAGCGCTCATCATGTGCTTAGTTTCAATTACTGCTCCGAACCTTCCGTTCGTTCTCAGGATAAATATTTTCCTATCTACATGGCCAGTTTTGAGGACCAACCAAGCGAACGCTATCCAATCCCCTAGGGATTTGTTGACACCCTTCGTTTCCCACACGACCCAAGAGACCAGGATTGTGCATGAGAACCATGCTGTAGTCAGGGAAGCAGCAGATCCTACCAAGTAGTTCTAGCCGCCAAAACGGCTCTTTTCCCCACATTTTTTGTCGACATTGTACTCTGATATTCGGCCAAATCGGTCTTCTTTTTCACCAGATTACCCAGGGGAGCAAGCTCAAAGATAGGCTTGCCAAGAAGCGCAAGGAACGCGAGAAACAGCTCGTCAGGGAGCGCGCCGATGCCGAGGCTGTCAAGGTATTTCTCGTTTTCCGAAGTTCTCATCCTATGCGAGCAGACTGCCCGGAGCACCGTCGTTGCCGTTTCGTTCCTTCGTCGTTGTTGTTGCGCTTGCTGGTGCTGGTGCTGGTGCCGGTGCTGGCGCTGCTATTGCTGTCGTTGTTTTTCCTGTAGCTGTTAAAATCGAAGATGTCAGCAAGTCCAGACAATGTTCGGTATAGTGAACCTGCAATCAACCTACGTCTTTCCGTTCCGGCTCGGCCAACGCGACAACATTGGCTTGCTTTGCGTATCGCAGGAGGCGAGGCGGGTCATGGAAGAGGAAGAGAAGAGAGAAGTGGCCAGGCTCGAAAACCACCTTGCGAGAGAAAGGGCAAGTTCTTGTCTCGACTGGTTTCTGGAGGCTCACAGGAGAAACAAATGAGCAAACTTGCACAAGGCCCGAAAACGTGTCGTACTTGTCGTTCTTAGATAGTCCAGCTCACACCAGGGTCGCCCTAGGGAACCTCACCGTGTACGGTAGCCCTGTGTCGTCATTCCATACGAGCGGCCACCAATGTGTGGGCTGTTTGTATCAGAAACAAGCCCGACGCGATTTTCAAGCCATGGACTCCTTGATACGTTGAGCATTGGTATTGCGGTGTTGAAACCGCTCAAATCTTCGTGCTTCATTGAAATATTGGTTGGAAAATCGCCAACGCCCTGGCTTACGATCGCCCATAGCTCGAGGCGTTTTGTTGCCAAGATTGTCTCACCACCATTGCTGTGTCACACATACATACCTCAACGTCTGGCGCGGGCCAACAAAACAATCCATAAAAAACAGGAACGCCTCCACGAAGAAAATCTCGCTCGTGCCACAGCGAGGCGCACGAGAGAAGAGGCGGAGGAACGCGACAGGGCGATGGCCGCGGCCCAAGCGGCCGACCTGGCCAAGCAAGAAGCGGTCGGCTGTCTTCAGAGGCTCCAGAAACAACATGCGGAGCAGGTGATACAGTCTCTGAAGCGATGCTGTCAATGGCTACGGAGGATATGGGGATGTCCTAATGTGTTCATGTAGGGTGTGCTTGACCATAAGCCAGTTGTTCCTGTCGAGAGGAGTGTGCCTAGGGCGTTGAGTCGGGAACAAGTGAACGGCCGGAGTCGTCGAGCTAGTATGTCGCACGACAGCAGCATTCGACTTTGGGCCACAACCGTCCATGTTTTTCCCAAAGAATCCGAGCGCAAGAATATGTAGTGTTTCCGTTTACGATGCGGTGGTCGGTTCATCGTTATCCCTACCGTACGGTAAGTGTTCACAAGCCTATCCACGGTTCCTTCCCATATCTTCTGTGTGATCGAATCCTTTCGTGATGCCTACGTCTATGGCACACGAACCAAAGGTACACGTGTTGACTCCGCCACAGGCTCCTTGCCTCATTAAGCCGGCTTGACCCCGAATACCTAACGATTGGTCGACCATTTCCATTGTTCAAAAAACCCTGATGGATGGCGCAGCACGCCGCGCTCGAGCACCAAATGGAGGAGGAAAAGCGGTCTCGAGAGGCCAAGCTCCGCGATCGACTGGCCAAGAAGCGTAAGGCTAAGGAGGAAGAGATGCAGCAGGCCGCCTTGTCTGAGCGGGTGAGTGGAATTCCTACACGACAAGACTCGACGAATCATCGTTCTACCATAATCCATGTCGCACGCGGAAACCCATCAGCTGTGCCTTTGATGGGCACACCAACAAGTCAAATTTGAATGCACGCCTGCCGCGTTGTCGCCCTAGAGCTTTGGCTTGAGTCCGACTTCAAAACCTCGCAAGAAGTTCATTGCACTCCTCGGCAGATTCCTCTCTGGTGTTTAACAGTGATACCACAAGCTTCTCATTCGGCAAAACAAACCGTATGCTAATACGTCCACATCCTGTCTGGACAACGTTTAAAACGTTCCACAGGAGAAGCAGATCGAACAAAAGAATCTGGAGGACGAAGAGCGAGTTGAGCGACAGCGATTCCACGATCAGGCAAGGATAGCACAACGCATGTTGGTTGAAGCAACGACATGCGCCGCCCATTTTCCTCTCTGAACTCGCGAGGGGCAACACGAAGGGCAAAAATCTAAGGCATCGGCTACTTGGTGTTAAGACATCGACCCTTCAATCCTGATAGAACAATCGAACTCTATCAGCAGCGGCGGCGAGGGCGGCGGCTACCGAGGCCGTGCGGGAAGCGGTCGAGGCCGCGGAACAGGAAGAGTTCAAGCGGAAGGCACAGAAGCTGAAGGTCCGTCGTTGTGATAGTGGTCACCTTAAATGGGGGTCATCTTGTTCGGTTGCCTTTTCCTTTTGAGCACGGCACAGACGGAGCTGAGGCGTGATTCGAGCTCCCGAAACCAATGCTACATACATCAGTGCTATTTTGCTCTCATGAGTTAGCATCGCTGTTGATGGCACTTGAGATGAGATTGCTGGCGTTGTATTGGGCTCCGGAATCAACGATACCAGGTCCCAAGCTCCACTACTTGTGGGTAGAGTAGATTGTTGGGTAATTGAACGCCACCCCATTCCGACTGGCCCTGTACACAGGAGCTCAGCCTGGCCAACGAGGAGAAAGAGAAGGCCGCACTTGCTGGATCTTCCGCGACGAGCAAGTCTAGGCTCATGGACAGGCAAGAAGAGAGACACAACAATGGTTGGAGACGTTCCTGCATCTAGTTAAAAAGAAACGACAACGTTATTGCTGCTCAGCGATTGCTGGAGTCTAGTGCCATCAATAAAGAACACGACCTTGTGTGTAGCACGGTAATTGAGAAAAAGGCATCTTGTTGTGTTGACACAACTGACGGGTTTGAAGGGTTTTATAGCGGTAAGAACAGATAGACAGATGCGGCCGCTTTGACCAAGTCTGCCCACGCGCCGTGCGATGTTTGTTGTTGATGCTCAGGCTGGCGAAGAAGAAAGCGAAGGCTGAAGCCAAGAAGCGCGAGCTCGAGGCCGCTCAAAAAGTGGAAGAGGAGAGGCTTTTGGCCAAGCACAAGGTGAACTCTACTGCAATAGGTGCCGGTCCAACGCCTTTGCTGATCGCATGGCCCAAAAGAGTGCTGCCCCGAGAACGGAAATTGGTGTTGTGCCTTCGCGGCATGTTGCGCCTCTTGACATACTGGCTTGACCAAGCACGCTTACTTGGAATATCGCGTTCTTTTGGGTTTCGCCGCCTGGCCTGGACAATTGCAGGACACGTTGCTCGAATTGCAAGAAAATGTTCGACACGCTGGCTGTCGACATACACGTTTTCGCGGCATGCCAAACCCAACTCTCCATCTCGTACGACCGCGTCGTCCCTCTCAGCACCCACCACATCTTCCCACGAAACTACCCACGAACTCGAAGGTAGGTCGATAAGATCATTTCGGTTTTCTGCTGTAAGTCACTATATATCTGATAGCCTGTACCACCATGTGCGTTTGCTCTTGTCGTTCTCAGGAAGAAGTGGAGGCTGCGAGAGCGGTGGCGGCGCCCGGATGGACGGGTGATATCGCGTGGGACGAGGCTGTCATGGTGGCGATGGCGGAGGAGCCCAGAGCTGGAGAGACGCAATTCGATCGCGAGGCGCGGGTTTTGAAGTCGGTGCTCGAAGCGGGCATCGTACCTGAGAAGAAGCTCGGGAAGGTGGGTCCAGGGCGGGCGGGGCGGCGGCTTGGTGGAACGGACAAGCGGATCATGGTGCTGTCGGTAGTTGATGCTCTCTTCCCCCTTCGTCCCTCCTTTCGGACCCTTGAACGTTTCCGTTCACGAATCTGTTTTTCTCTTGTCTTCCAACCGGCCAAACGCACTTGCTGTGGCGTCATCAACCTGCTTGATGGTGCGCCGCCCGTCGGTGAATCGTACAGTGCGTGGAGCTGGTCATGTCGGGCAGACACGATAAGGAAACTGCCGAGTTGCTGACAACCCAGGTCCGAAATGAAACATAAGAGTACCATGCATTCAAATAACAAGTTTTGATAACCTCTCCAGTCTTACCTCGGTAGGTTTGAAGTATTGCACAACAGACTGGCATCCCACGGAGTTACGTTCGGTGATGCCGATAGTGCGGTCGCTTTGTACACCCTCCAGCGGGTGCGCAGCACCTGTTTTGAGCGTTCACCATGGGCTCATCGTACGAGGAGTCCATGGTGAACGTCGAGGGCAAGCGCTGCGCACCCGCTGGAGGGTGTACGAAGCGGCCGTACCATCGGCATCACCGAACGTAGCTCCGGGGGATGTCAGCAGCAGCTCATCGGGAACATCGCAAAGTTCCCCCATCTCTTTAATGAGACAAATGCGAGTTGGAGAACCTCCCCAGTCTTACCCCGTTAGGCTTGAGGTATTGCGCAACAGACTGGTATCCCACAGAGCTACGTTCGGTGATGCCGATGGTGCGGTCGCTTTGTACACCCTCCAGCGGGTGCGCAGCACCTGTTTTGAGCGTTCACCATGGGCTCATCGTACGAGGAGTCCATGGTGAACGTCGAGGGCAAGCGCTGCGCACCCGCTGGAGGGTGTACGAAGCGGCCGTACCATCGGCATCACCGAACGTAGCTCCGGGGGATGTCAGCAGCAGCTCATCGGGAACATCGCAAAGTTCCCCCATCTCTTTAATGAGACACCCGCGCGAGGCACAACACCCTGCCATGAAAAATATAACGGGTAGCAGTGCGATCTTCTCTTTTGAAGCAACCTAAGGTATCGGAGTGTGCAGGGAGAAGACCCACAGCTCTCGGGTCGGCCTACCCTTGTGGCCTTCCTGCTGACGGAACGGGGTGTGACAAACAAGGTGTCGACCTTCGTAACCGTCAAACTGTAATCGGTCTAGTGAGTGTTCACCATTGGAAGACAAACTCCTTTCGGCTGTCCAAAAAAGCAACCACGAGTCACTGGATTCGTATTTCTCTCCACGTGTGGCGCTTGGACGGCGTCGATAACTCGGACGTTCTCTTGGTCCAAATGACTTAAAGAAACTCGCCCCATGCCCGTACGTTCCAAATTCTACCTGAATGCCCTTGCTCTTATCTTCCAGTACAAAGAACGTGCATCCCGGTTGGCCACCTCTTTGGGCGAGCTTCTTGTCGAGAAGAATACAGCACGCGCGGAGGCATTGCAACGGTTAGCCAAGGTGAGCTGCACACACGGGAATTTCGCCTGAACCACTGTCTGACGCTCGCGCAGTGTACATTTCCTTTCCGGCAGAGAATGGGGTTGCCTTCTTTGTGAAAACGATACGGAGTAGTTCGGAAGATACACTCAACGGACAAAATGGGCACACAGAAGAACATGACTCTCGGGTGTTAGAGGCGCGTTCTTCAGAGTCGGGGTACAGCCGCAGTCGCACACACGCTCTGCGCGCCTTTGCACGAGAGACCAGACACAACGAAATGATGCTAAATTTTCCCGCCAGCTTCTCGCATGTCACTCACATGACCTACAGTGGCGGGTGGGGAGAAAGTGATAAACCCTTAGTGTTTTAGTAGACTATTTCTCACGCCGGTCGAACTGATGACTATAAAAACATCGTCGTATGCTCAGATGAACGCCACCGACGAAGAGAGGGCCGATGCGGCAGCCGACGTCGACGATGACTTCGCCGGGCGTCAGCAACAGATGGAGACGTCGATCATACAGGTTGAGACCAATATTTAGTCTACTTTAGTATGCAGCAGTCAACAAGATGTGGCGCGCAGCGATTGGTTGCAGAGTAATGCACAGCATCCATGGTAACCGGTAGCTTTCGAAGGTTGTAGAATGTATCCCCTGACTACGATGTGGTGAAGATTTTTCTTTTCCACAGTAACACTATGGGCGCTGAAACTCCAGTTCTCCGAATTCCCCAGCAAATGGAGCCTCCTCATCTCGAGCAACAGCTGGAGCTACGCCAACGGCAGCTTCAAGAGATCGCCGGAACGTTTAGGGTAAGCAACACTGTGCTTCTTACCAAGCCAATATTGCTCATCATTAGTCGATTCTCATTCACCTAAAAGAGTCGCGCAGCACCTTGGAGCCTCTCCCCTGTTGTTGTTTGTGTTGTTGTCGTCGTTGACCTCTCTCCAAGGCCATGGATTGTTCGTCTTTGAAACCAAGGAATTTATTGTCGTGGTCATGGGGGTATGTGGGTCCAAACGTTTTCAAACAAGAGAATGTTTTGCAATGACCACGAGCGAAGGAAATGATCCCCAGAACTAAAGTCCAGCAAGCCGACATGGCAGCGAAAGATCCCAAACATTCGAAGCCTCTTCTCCCAACATGTACATTCTTTTGTTGTGGCGGGATACACGAGGTTGTAGCAACAGTATACAAACCTTTCGTTTTGATCAAACAACCAACCCTTTTTCACATCATTAGGCCATCGCACCCGAATCCGCCCTGGAGCGGCTGCAAGAGATCAATGCCGCCAGGCACAAAGAGGAGCTCGAGAATTTCCATGCTGCCATGGAGCGGGAGAAGGAGGAGCGCCTCAAGCGCCTTCAAGAAGAGAGAAGCAAGTGAGCCGAGCTTGCCTATTGCAAGCTACGTGCCCGTCGGTGGAACACTCACCTTCCTCCGAACTTATCTGAGCGTCCCGTATTCGCTGGTGACGGTATTGCTGGAGTCGGTCTCATACGTTTGGCGGAGCCAGTGGCATGGCACGGAGTTTTACGTATTGTAGCGCGCGTCGTACCGCCTGTGGACGTACCCAGTCTTTAGCGGTCCATCACAGCCAAGCGCGCGAGTGAGTGAGAACCTTCCGGTACGATGAACAACAACTGGTGCACGTGGAAGTGCATCCCTGTATACCGTATCGCGTGGCACTGACTAGGCGACATATACGGGTCGCGTGGTTAAGGGTGAATGCGTTCGTCTCTCCACAAAGTCTGAAGTCATAGCCCAATTGCCCTGTGGCAGGTTCGAGGAGCAACTTCGTCAGCGTCACGACGCCGAGATGCAGATACTGCAGGCAGAGGAGCAAAAGGTCTTGGATGTCGAGAGAGAGGCACAGGAGGCACGCCTCAAAGAAAAACAGGTAAAAGGTGGAGGTTGCGAAATTGTGACTGCAAAATGCAAGCGTGCAAGGGGCTAAGTCGTCGGCGACAGTCAAGGGAGAAAGTCTTGTAGTGTCGGGTTTGAAGAGTAAAAATAAAGAGACAACTGTGTGATAAACAACTGCATCGAGCAAACACAGGCAGAGACAAGAATTGTACCATCAGGGTTACCTCATCGCTCTTTCTGCACGAAATTTAAGCAGCGTTCCTGAACCTGAACATTCTCTCCTGTTGACGATGGGAGCGGGAGATGTGATCAAACAGTGTGACTGGAACTGCTTCAAAGTGTGCAACCCACGAAGTACGTATCTACGTGATTCGCACGCTTTGCGTTAACGCGCCCAGGCGGAGCTCGAGAGGCAACGAGAAGAGGAAAAGCGCAAGATGGAGGAGAGGAGCGACCAGCTCAATGCCAGCCAAAAAGAAGCTCTCCTGGAGCAGTTCAAGCTTGACCAGGTAACAAGTTGTTCCAGGTGCATCATTGCCCTTCCGATACGAGGGACGTACTCGAAACGCCTGGTGGCCAAGGAACGCTGCTTCGTTGCAGCTGTTTGCGTTTAGAATTGGAAGGTTCTTGGCTTAGGGAACTTAGCGCTCCGTCGAACCTTCATCTCCTGCGTGTTTGGTTCTTCCCCCTCGTTTCAACTATTGGATCTCATGAAGGCGGCCGAACTCGGAGCCCTCAAGGCCGAGGAACAGTCTTCCAAGAGCAAGCTCGAGCAGAAGCTGGCCGCTCGACGGCAAAAGAAGACGGAGGAAATAAGGAAAAGAGAGGAGAGGCAGCTCAAGGAGAAAGAGGCCAGGGATGCCCAGAGGCTACAGGTGTGGGAAAATAGTGTCATGAACAGCACCGCTCATACACCAGCGAAATCTACATATCGTCAATTTAATGCCGTAAATTGGCCCGGGCGTTCTCCGTTCGTGCAACGATACGCATTTCCGAGGAGACCAATGCACATGTCAATGTGTAGACGTTGTGCCAGCACCAGAAACTAGCCTGCACATTCGTGGCAGCTTGTTAAAACAAGTAGAGCGACCACGATAATCGCGATCCCTCACACTCTTTTGCAAATCACGGATGTATTCCGTTGTGGGACTGCAAATGTCACGACAACTGAGAGCAGGAAATCGAGAGGCAGACCCAACTGGAGGATGCCGCAGAGGTCGGAGCACTGTCCGCTTCGGGAAGCGTCAGCGCACTGAAGGTGGACATCGACCAGGCAGCGATTGAACTAGCACGGAAGGTAAATGAGTATTTTGGGTCTCTGCGTTCTCTGCTGCGCTCTCATTTCAAACCTTGCCGCCACGTGTTCGCAGTGGCCGATGTTTTGGGTTGAGGAAGACATGCATTTGGTGGTTTTTCGTGCGGTGCGCGTTACCCCAGCGAGAGAGTGATGCTCGACGAATATGAAGAAATCCGTGCTCGTAGGGTGCACCGTCGACACGACACCTCCGAAATGTTGCTCAAAAACGTGTGGTTGGGCTGAGTACGAGAATTCTACCATGAACAACGACACTCCAGGAGAACATGTGTTTTGTCTCGCCAACCATCCAACCTTATGTACCTTCCATTCGTACACGAACTAAACTCATCGTCGACGCCCCCCCGTCCAACGACGACGCCTAACCGAACAACCAGAGAGGTGGCCCGAACGAGGCCAAAGAGAGGCTGAAGGAGACACTCGCTGCCAACGAGACGAGGTAAACTTGAACAAACCCAAAGTTTGTGCACTGCAAATATGGGTCGCAGCTTTTGGGCTCAACGATTCGACACTACAAGCGCAATGAGTCAACAAACTTAACCACGATGCATTCTATGTAGAGCAGAAGGGGCACATGGGAAGAGACCATGCCGTTGTGTACCTTTTCTGGTGCCAACAATGGGGGCTTACTCAATGGGGCCACAACCTAGTCACAACATGACTCTGACTGTTGTCAGAGCTGGGGCCTCAAGGGGAGACGGAGAACCAGGTGGTGCCAAGATCGCGTAGTAATGATCAGGTCAATGCCCATGCAAGCGCCACCTATTTTTGTCAGGCGCTTTGCACGTGTAACGACGAGATCGGTACCTACTACCAGGTGTTAATGATACAAGGGTTAGTCACCAGCTTGATTCCTGGAATACTAGAAAAACCTACCTATTGTTTTGTGCCTTATGAAACTTTCTGATTGCAATACAAGTCGGTCATGTAGCGCAAATACAGAAATGACACGTATGAGAGCTCATTGGTACCATCTTGTCTTGAGCGAAACTTCAGTTCCCTGAGGTCGCATGATCACCAGTTCGAATGGACCTAGTTACTTTTCGGTCGTCACCCCTGTTGCTTGAATCCAATGAAAACAACGTGCACAGACTATGTCCCGGGACTTCACCACGCAATCATACCCAACGATCTCGAAAGCCCTGAACACTGGCAACTCATTCTCGTGAAGCTCCCCCGTTGGGGTCTGCTCTACACGCCTATCGCCTTTCATCCTCCCAGAGTACCTCTAAGAAGATCTGAAACACGTCGGCTTTCCTGGGTTCATGTCAACTTGCAGGAGAATGGTCCAAAGGCACAACAGTGTCAGCGGCAGGAGATCTTTGTCCGGTGCCAGCGGGGGAGCCTCTGCGGCGGCCGCTGCCGCAGCCGCCACGGCAGCCACGGCGACGGCGTACACGCACATATCGTCCAAGCTGGAGGGAATCGAGGGCCTCATCTCGGCACTGAAGGTGCGACTCATCTGCTGCACTACTGGGGGTAAATCACTTAGAAGCGATTCATGATCCCATTCATACCATCGACCGCACATAATCCCTGGATGAATTTATTGACGCAGATTTCCGATTGCTTGTGAAAAAATTGGACACGATGTTAAATTTGTAGTGTATCATTACCTATTGCGCTGGTGCTGTTTGTTGGACATGTACATATTTTTTTTAACTAAAGAACTAGTACAACTTTTCAGGGCTTGTTTTCTGCGTGTGCAGCATATGTAGCGTAGGGGTTTCATACTGCACTAGGGGGCGAAGCGGGAATCACGGGGTTGGGAAAGAACACAAGAGTTGCCCAGCGAGAGCAGGTCCGCAAGAACTGAACAGAGATCATTGGTTTCGGGGGGAAGGGCGGGGGTTGAGTCTGTTGCATCAAATTGATCACTGAGCCCTGGGCACCTTGTGCTGATTGCTGTTGACCTCGATGAAATCAGGCTGCCCAAGGGAACCGGCTGTTGGGGCCCGGCATTTCCGCCGGTGATGACGGGTCTACACAGGTGTACAGAGATGCCGAGGACGAGGCCACAATTCCGGAGGGCAACGACTTGCAAGTGAGAGCCAGACAAGCACAAGATACATGTAAACATCTTGTGCTAATGTGGCCGCAAAGTTGTTCGAAGCGATAAGCATAAGTTGGCTCTCGCATTCGGACGCACACAAGCGGGAGCATTGAGCGACGTATACGGCGTGAAAGCCACCAGCCGACCTGAAAGTTCGCCCTGTGGTCGTCGCCGTTGGTAGATGTAGAAGAAGTACAAAGAGCGGGCACTTTTCAACCAAAACGCACCAAACCTACGCAGAGAACCCACCACCCAAACCATAACCCGTTGTCCTTACGACTTCGTTTCACTCTTTTCCGGTATTGAACAAGGTTATCCCAAGAGATAAGCTCCCGGTTCAAGCACTTGCCCGGCTGGAGTTCGGGGAGCACCTGCTTTCGGTGCTCGGCCTCGCCGACACTGTTAAGCTTCAGGTCGCCAAGAACCTACCCCCGACGGACGTTCTTAGTCAAGGCAGCGGTACCGGTGGCAGGCTCAACGCCAACGCGTTCCGCAACTCCTACCTTTGGGAGGCTTCAACCGGCGTGCTCAATCTACACGGTTCGTGTGACCGGCGGAGATGCTACCATATTGCTGTAGCGTGTTTGCAAACAGCGTGACGATGGAAGTGCTGAGGGGTTTCGAATAAGGCGGAACTTCCGTAAGGCGATGAAGTATGAACTGTCGAAGTATTTCGGTAGGTTCCTTCGTGGATTCACCGAAGTACCTGCGGGACTTAAAATTGCTGCTTCTAACATTTGTGGCTACCTCGACATTACTACGTAGGTCTGATTTGCGAATAAAATAGTTGTCAACCGTCATGCCCGTTCCATCGTCTTGTCCCTTCCTCGATATTGCTGCTATTCGGGCACAGTTCGGCGCCTTTCGAGCAGTGGAGACTTCGGGTTGGTTCTCGTGCACGCGGCGGCTCACATCCACGTCGACCCGTCGGACATGTCTAATGACCTAGACCCGCGATTCACGCAGCACTTCCATCGCTCGCTCAAGGTGTTGACACAAGGTGAGGCGGGGCTTCAAAACATCTGCACGATCTTCGGGCGAAACGGAGCCACTATGTGTCGGGAGTAAACGGAACACGGAACACGCTGTGATTTTCCTGTCTACGCACAGTTTTATTCTAGTTGACGACAGTACGCTGGAAACATATCGATTGCGTGCCAGGTATTGGAGGGAAAAAGCCTACGTCGTTGACAAGATCCGACGCGCGTGAACGAGAGTGCTGGGTCCTTCTCGCTGTATGGAATGAACAACCATGTTTTGACGGTACGTCTGGTGGTCGTCTCAACTCACTTCACTCTCCTCAACATTTACTTGCATACAGAGCTGTTCAGGTACAGAGAATCAGCGGCACCGATGGCTGACGGCGGTTTGGGATCCCCCATCCCCAGCCCCCTCCTTGCCGGCTCTGTGCCGGGAAGCAGTGGAAAAGCTGACACAGTGCTTATGGCAGGCGGAGCACAGTCGAAAAGGACAGGGGCGGGTAGTGGCGAGTTCGCGCAGGTGAGTGAGGGATCCTCGAAAAGGATTTCAGATGGTGGGGTTGGGGGGCAACAGGCCGGGGGTCCGTGTCCAGGAGGTAAATACTCAGGTGTATGTCAGGATGTCCTCCAACCATCCCCGGACAAAATGTTGACGTTACGGAGATGTTTGAGCTCATCTAATCGATTTGTTTCGTTGCTGAAACATCTACCACTATTTGGGCCGGTGGCCTAGTTTGCTTTGTTCAAAATTGATTCGGTATGTTTGTCAAACAAACATGCATACATCGAGCATTTCGCGTAGCCCTCGACGTCCGTGATGAAATCAATGCGATCCTAGCAATGTGAAATGACGGTGGCACCTCTTTGCAAACACCGTCCCCCCTCAATCAATCGCTTAGGACCTTCTTGCAGAGAGAATGGAGAAGTACGCCCGGGCTAGTGGGCACCCGCGCTTGGTGGAACTCCTGTCGCGCCACGCCAACGAACAGAAGGACAAGTTCACGCTCAGCGACGACGAGGACCAGGTATGTCCGGAGAAGACTCTTGTCTGGCGCTATGCTGCCCGCAACGGTTGGTATTGAAGGCTAATACCTAATACCCTACCACATTAAAGGATGACTTTTCGAGTTATGCGATTGGTTTTCTTTCAAGACACCAAAACCGTTCATGAATTCTACAATGCCGTACCCCCGATCAGTATGGCATTTTCTTCTCTGAGGCGTGCACCACACGGCCCAAAACAAATTCATGCGAATGAGACACGAAGTCGAAGTACAATGAGGCACGGGTAGCAAGCATCAACCGGGAATCACATGGTAAAACATGGAAACGTCACACCACATGTATGCATTTCAGGGAAATTGTGATTGCTGTTGTCGTTATCGCCGTTGGTGCCTGTAATCGTTCAACCTCTGGCTTCTATCCAGCACCTGTACGGCATCACATTTGAATGGCTCTATTTTTACCGCGGTAGCAAACCCACCCCAACGCGACTACACGAAGTGTATAATACACAATGACAAAGTTATGTTCGACTACCGTACGTCAGACATACGTTGCGTATGTGGTTTTGTACCGTACGTGGAACATATTTTCTGTGCTCGTATGAAACAGAGGGAAGGACTATTTTCTTGAACTTTCATCGTGCCAGCTTTCGAATTCATAGGGTGCCATTTCCCCAAGTGCAAGAGTCCCCAGTTCATGGGGTGTTTCTAGATCAAGGCAGAACAAAAACAAATCGTGAAGTACAATAAAGTGTAGCCTATACCCTCCATTGTTCGGTCCCTGCCCTGCTCTCTCCTCGACCTTGCCTTCCTTACAAACCCGAAGGTGTCGAATGTGGGCGACGTCGAATACATGGAGAAATTCGACAACAGGGACGCTGATTCTATCTTTCGTTCGCCGGTCCCCAGTATCAGCGGACACGAGAGTTTCGATGATGATGCCAGCGACAACGGAAGGGAGGAGAAGAAGGGGCTATGAACACTACCATTCATGCCAAGACCTGCTGGGGATAGGCAGTGGCTGGGTACCATTCCCTCAAGCCGTGTGTCCGCGTACGGCGCGCATTAGTGTAGAGTATTGATTGTACTTTTCTCAACTTCAAGCTTGAGTCTTGTCTGTTCTACAACTTTACGAATGTCCTCTTATCCACGTGCAATATGATCAATTTTTGTGAGTCTCAGGTAGGTATGTAGCAGTAGTGTCGCTGGCGGCAGTGAGGCTTCAATCAAAGACGATGTCTATGAGACATTCGATCATTCGTCCCTCGTCTTACTTAGCAATTTCAACTGTTCAAATGGTTGAATAACCTCGGTTACATAGGTTCTTGTCCAAGGGATGCCAGGGGATGCTCCACTGCTGTGTAACTGGCTAGTCATCAAGAGACAGCATGAAATAATAGAGATACGCTGCAATTATGTGCTTTACCAGTCGATTGAATATGTGTGACGCTGAAAGAAGAATAGAAACAGAGACATTGAGGGAAGAAGACTGGGAAAGCGCACTGCCAGCAGCTCGTTAGTCGTGCGGCGCGCGACGACATAACGCGGTTTGCTGGTAAGAGATGGGTTAACGCAGGAGACCTGAATCGGTGTTGAAAGCTGAAAGTTTGAGATTTTATGAAACGGGTTGATGGCTCACAGAGACCTTGAAACTCTGTGTTGGATTGACACTTGGAGAATGATCTGGAAGGAAGACTGGATTTTCCTTTATTTCTCCACGTATTCGTAAAGACATTACGAGATTGTATTTCGCATTGAGTTGGGTAGGGGGGGATAATAATGTAGACGCTTTCTGAAATGCGAGAGAAATATTCAGCAACACTACTAGNCTGTGTAACTGCCTCGAGGGTGCTTGACCATTTTAACACAACGTGGTGCGATCATCCCCCTTGCGCGGAGTGAGGGTTCTCCACCCCGCACAACATGATCTACTCGACCACCATTATGGGTACCGCGAAAAAAAAAACGGAGGTAAAAAAAAAAAAAACGGTAACCTGGTTGCCGAGTTCTCGAAGTGAATTTGCTTGTTTTACAACGTCGTTGCCAAGCGACGAAACCCAATCCCGATGGCAAACACCGAGGGGGGGCTTGTTTTACAATGTCGTTGTCAAGCGATGAAAACCCAACCCCGATGGCAAAACACCGGGGGCGGCGGCTTGTTTTACAACGTCGTTGCCAAGCGACGAAAACCCAATCCCGATGGCAAACACCCGGGGGGAGTTAGGTAGGGGAGGATAAATATGTAGACGCTTTCTGAAATTCGAGAGAAATATTCAGCAACACTAGGGGATTGATCAAGGGAGGCATGACGACGGGGAATAAAGTGAAAGAACGCTCTATTGCAGCTCCTCAGTCATGCGGCACATGACGTGCGGCAGTTCACCAGTAAGAGTGCGGTAGCTCAACGAATTAGACCTTATTCGGTGTTAAACTGTTTTTGGTGACTCTGTTTTCTACCGCAGAGACAAGTTGAAAATCTGTGTTGGAATGAAAGTTGGGAGATGTTCCATTTTGTGAGGAAGGAAGAATTTGGGTATTTTGCGTGCTGCTTGATGAAGCCATCCCAAGGTCATATCTCGCATGGAGTTGGNGGGGTCGTCAGTCGTGGCAGAGAATTGCGTAGGCTTCGTGATATCTGAGGGTACGACGTTACGACGGAGCCCTCGATGCTCCACAATGCGGTTCACCCCAATCTCCAGAGAAGATTGTGGCTTAAAACACTTCGGTTATTTGCTCGTGCTCTGGCCATCCGGGTGTTCAAGGGAGTGCACACTTCAGCACTTGGGATATGCAGCGAACAGCACACCAATACAAGTACTTAGCTGTTCCGAGGGGGCGGTTGATGCACAAAGGATTGGACGACTGGTTCTGTCTTGTATTCACCGCAGCGAGCGTGCCTACTCTCTGCGAAAACGCAAGAGTTTGGACCGGTGAGTGTAACGCGGGATGAGTATGAGGAGCAGATTTGCACTACAAGCAGCATGCGTCAAACAACCAAGCCATTGTTATAGCCGCGTAATGCACAGAGTAGACTACTTCAAATCCTCTGAGAACGCCCCGGTCCACGAGAATGTCCCTCCCCTCACCGAACAAAATACCGCAGGGGGATCACAATAACTCAAAGCTTTTGGTCGTACCTGGGTGATCGTGTGGTTTCCCCCCGCTAACGCATACCTACACCTCTGCGGGGCGCCTAGTTCAATTCATGAATACAAAGATGGAGGTGCCCTCACCGCAGGGCATTCACCAATATACTGAAGGCATTCATTCCGGAGAACACTGCTACTTTCCCCCCGTTTGTTGATGTTGTTTCGTCAAATCAAGCGCTGTTCATCTACTGCAGTGTAGTCTACATGTCACCTCGTCCTCGCTATGTACTTCTCGCTATATTTAGGTGAGCCACGGTCACGCAACCAGAAGACCGCAGAACCTATCTACCGCATGTGAATGCAAGCCTCACCAACCATCAAGCAATACTCTCATTCTCTCCCGTTGAATACGAAGACTCTGTTATAGCTTGTTGTGAGACTTCATGGTGTTCCGTTGTTTCGCAACAACCTGCCAGACCAAGAGACTAAACCGAACATGAAAAACAGCGTAATGAAAAGAATGGACTTAAGCGAGGAACAAAACGAACACGCTGCACAGTTCAAGCCGTAGGTCGACATCACGGGCTCCGGGGCGAGACGTTCAAGTGTCCAGAAGGTTCTTGTGTTCATCGGGTGTGTACATGGAAGAAAGAACGCAACACCCAGCGGGGATTTTGGCCCGAGCGGTGTTTTTTTCGTGCAACGATTGCTCGAATAACGCCGCCCCTTACCTTTGAGAACTAGCTTTGAGAACCGCCTTTGAGAAATGCCTTTGAGAACGCCCGTGGGGGGCGTTCTTTCAAACATGTCATACGGCCGACGCAGGGCGTTCTCGAAGATGTTTTGAAGACGCTTTTTTCCCAGGCAGCTCCATCTTGTGAGCCTCACGTACTCCAATCACTCGCAAATTTTTCACCACCATTTTCGTCCCCCGCGACCATGAGCTGTCTACGGGGATGATACTCCTCCCTTACATTCTTGGACGCCCTCCACACGGATATCCTCCCACAGCAGCGTGCCATGAAATACAAGCGTCCTCTGTAGGCGTTCAACATAGCCACCCGTGAGCAGCCAGCCCCAGTGGAATCAAAAACAGCAGCATGATGGGGCTATGTAGCATCTCACTAGCAATCATCTCTGCCTCAATGAATCTGTGCTATCAGCAAGCACACGGCCGTCGCAAAAGCAGAGAAGGCCAGCAGTGGTCAAGGGAAGCATCCAGCAGAGTTAGAGCAGCAAACATGCAGAGGGAGTCGGTGCTGCCGTGAGATCCGCGCTAGGCTATCTCGTGAAGTGTGCGAGAATCCCTCCCGCGGCTCCCAACGGGAACACAGGGCGCTCTCGTTTGCACCCTGCGCAGTCCTTCCGTACCACACCACGAATAGCAACAACAGGAATTAACAGATGCTTTATAGATGGCTTGTGCCACATGAGATGAAGTATTTAGATGCTGCTGCGCAGATGCTGATTGCGTACGATGTCCGCGATTCCCGACGAGGACTGGCATAAGAGAACGAATGCATCTACTTCTCTCTGAGCAGCAGCGGTCCTTCCACACGAGCCGCACCACCACCCACAACCAACAACAGCAGGGAAAATAGTGCTACTTCACCAGTGTGCCAGTTGTTATTTGATGGGTAGCGTCTGGCGATCGATCACTCTTCAGGTGTCACCCGATACCCGACGTCCCGACATCCGCTTCCGTGTTCCGCCGCAATAGTTACTACCGACGGAACTGACAGTCCTGGGAGCTCGGCTCAGAAAGGCGCGCCAGATCTCGGCTGTCGTGCAGTACATCCATCCCTTGTACAGCCTTTGAATAAGTCGTCGTGATATCCGAGCCGAGAGCCGAGATGCCTCCCAAGCGGAAAAAAGCTGATAAAGCAGCAACAGCAGCTGCAGCCTTGAAGAAGTCTCGAACAACGTTGAGCAGCAGCAGCAGCAGCAGCAGCTCAAAGAGTGTCGCAGGGAAGGCCAAAGCAGGGGGGAAAGGAAAGGCGAAGACTGCCAAAAAGCCTGATGCTGACCGCAAAGCGTCGTCTCCCACAGCTTCTTCGGCTGGTTCTACCGACAAAGGTGGTGCTAGTGCTTCAGGACAGGCCCCGCGCCCGAAGAGAAACCAAAAAGGGGAGCTCGTCTTTCCTGATTTCCCAAAGTTTCGACCGAACTTATCACCCAAGCAAGTTCTTCGCATGGGGTCTTTCGGCGGGACGTACTTCAGGCCGATCAAGTCTTCGGTAACTGGAAAGTCGTACCGCGACCAGTGGAAGGAGTTTCCCGCGGGTAAGTTGCTGCAGCATCCACGGCGAGTGAGACTACTTGAAGACGAGATGGAACAAGATATGTGTGCTCTTGTAATTTCTGATCGGTGACGTACTGACCGCGCGCGGCTGAATGAGAGCCTACCGTCCGAGGCCGGGGTGCTGGCAAGTCTCCACAGCAAGATTAATGCAATCCAAGTGTTCCGTTTTCGATCGCATGTGTCTTGACGACCTTCGGACGTGCTACCATTAGACTGGTTCGAGGGGCTGAACGTGAAGAGGCAGGTGGCCAGTCCCACCTACTTGAACTCTGTCAACACGTACGGCGTCCACTGTGGTGGGGACTTGCACATGTGGGAGTCGAGCGGATGGATAAAGTGAGCTGGGGACAATTTGTGAGACCTTTGAATCTTGTTCGTGTCATTGAACGATGCTGCATTGTCTACTGTACGTGCTGCCTATCCGTCGTGCATGAGGAGCGCACAGGTGATGCTTACCGAATGCACAAGATCTGTCTATGGCAAGCACGGCCTGCGGTCCGGCTGTCAATCAAACATGCTGACATTCCCCTCCTCCTCCTTCAGCGACTCCCCGCCTCGTCCCATCTTTCCGTGTATCTTTGCCCTGCTTTCCATAATTGCACCTCTGCTATACCTGCCGCAAATTATTTCTACAGGGAGTGCGACCCCTACGGATGGTTCCAGGTGTGTTTTAACAAAGCGAGAGGCCTCTCGTTGTAGATCTCATTGGCCATTACTTACACTCCACACACACCTGGTGTTCCCCCCCATCAGCCTTGTCGCGTCACTGCATGCTGCTTGTGTTGTTGGTCCACAACGCCACTCGCACCTGGTGTTCCCCCCCATCAGCCTTGTCGCGTCACAACATTCTGCGTGTGCTGTTGGTCCGCATGTACGTGGCTTTCTGTTTCTCTTGGGTGGCTGGCGATCTGCTAACTTACGCCCTTCGGTCTCCTCCGTGTTCTGTACGCACAGTTGGTGACACCTAGCTTTCAAACCAGGGAGGCAAGGCGTGATGTTGGCTTCGCTGCCCCACCTTGTGACGATCTATCGCGCTTTTATTTCGAAAACCTGCGACTCCCTGCCCTTGCTTTCGTGCTGTGGGTGTGTTCTCGACTACTTGGTCCTTGCCACGACAAAAGTGGTATTGCCGGTTTTACCTTGGAAGGAGGTGCTACGATGATGAGCGCCAGATCTCTCGGGGTCTGAAGGTGCGCGATCCACACAAGTCAGACACCGGTTCTGTTAAACCTTGTTCCGACCGTTAGTCTGGAGGGTTACAGTCCTGTTTTCTTTCCACCGGAGGTCTCAGTAGGAGAAGGAAAGCTACCTTTCGAGATTTATACGGTCGGTTTCCTTTGACAAAAAATGTGCAAGCCCTTCCGTGTGTTTTGTGCATTCGACGTAAACGAATGAGCGAAACGAAACTTGAAAAGTGTTCTTAGTCCTACCACTCCGACGCCAAGAACCGCTATATATCTTGTGTGTCCATGACAAGTAGGTAGTTCCCCCAGGGTTGAGGGTTGATGGTTTGCAGAATCGCATTTCTACTGGTGTTTTCTGGTTTCCATCCAACGGCGCATCTGAAACCATGCTCTTGTTTTCTTCACTAAGCCCTTTCGACGGTGTGAACGTGAACAAGTACTGCAGTGAGGACAAGTGATTTACCTCATCGGCGTATCACACGTGCTTCCCCACGAGCGCTGTCATGGCCATGGGTTATGACCGTCGTCTTCAGTCCTCACCGTTGACGTACCAGGCACAGCAATATGTGTTGCGCTTCGTAAATTGTGCGCACTTTCTTTGGATACGGAGTGCTCACCGCGCTGCATATTCTCCGCGTGAAAGTGTTTGTGCCGGTTTTTAAGGAAACCGGTAATACAGCAGTGCCATTTCCAATGCACGCTATCCTGTGGTCTACTTTTCCGTTCGTGGCACGGTACGTCAGGTGTTCGGCCCAACTGGCAGATGGCGGACACAGCTGTGTAACCGTATCCTCATCAAGGGCAGCGAGGTGGACGACACGACCGTGAGCCCTAAGATTCGCCAGCTCATGCAGGTGCAGGAAAAAAAAAAAAATCGTACTCCATGATTCGTTTAGGCACGATATGACCCTCCATTTGCATGACATTTTAATTGAAGACACAGCAGTTCTGAAGCGTTTAGCATTCAACAGTTTCCCCTTAATGGTGCTCGTACCATCTACGGAGCATCGGCAAACATGAACACCAGAGCTGATTGTTCCGCAATGTACACTGGTGGTTTTCCCCTGCCGCGGAGAAAACTGGCTTGGCAGAGACCTTGATACACGCGGATTGCTTTATGTGCCCTTGCTGCCGTTCCTCTTTGTGGTTCCTATTCAGCACTGGGGATATAAGATCACCGACCAAGACCTCCAGGCGCACGCCTCGAAGCAAACCAAGAAAGGTTGACTTGGCTCGTATGTATGCGATTTGAATTCGCCATGTGGGGTTTGTAGTTATTGCAAGCACGGCTGCGGTGGTGGCCTCAAGGGGACGTTGCTTGCAGACGGTTTTCGAATGAGTCCGACGATGAGATATGGTGTGTTCTGACTCTAAACATTCCATGGCCTGCTGCACCAAAGCATGGAATGCGCTAAGTGCACGCAATATTGCCTGAGTTGCACAGATGGGAACCATCAAGCTCCCAACGCAGGCCTTAGTTGCGGTATTGCGGTATCATTGCTGTACGGGCAGACCCTGCAATTTTGACAAACAATTATTTTTCATCCTCCTCGAACCAGACTCATACGCAGTTTGATGTTGGAAACCGTTCCCAACACTCACAATCAGCTAGTGAAGTACTCGACGGACGCCCGTGGCTAAACCCACCCCCTGGAATCTCTGAGACCCCTGACATGGACGAAAGCCAACGCTCCAGAGAGATGGCGAGCTTCCTCGCATCACGGCCACCGCCGAGCTGCGACGGGAGTTCGCTCGCAGGTTGGAAGTGAACCAAGATTGTCTGAAACAGATACGCCCTGTCTTCATGGACGTCACATACAATAGAGAACGTTGCAGTGCTACCTGCTGGAATAGACCAAAACACGTCGCCAAGTAGGGGGCCGATTGCCTATTGCGCCGGTACCACCGATGCTTCTTGCTGCACCGCAGAATATTGTGTGCCAGCAGCTCGTTCGTCTACCCAGGCGTGGGCCAACGCGAGAAGAGCGTTGACCGCCACGTCTGATCTAAGCACTCGGGATCCCAGCGTAACAGCCTGTCGACGTTTTTGTGTACGTCAAAATGGACGGACGACAAGGGATGCATGCAGAAAAAAAACGACAAAATTATACCTCGGATAGTACAGGGGGGCAGTGAAGCGAAAACCGGCGGCGGCGCAAAGCAGCTGGACGTGTTGAATCATAGGCGCCAGACAGTATTAGGCACTGGGGCGGGGTGACTCCATGGCAGAGCAGCCCAAATCATCTAGGTCTTAGCGAGCACTTTGACGAGGTCCTTCTACAAGTCAGGCAAATAGAGGCATGGGCATTCGTTGCCCGACAGTGCCTCTCACACCGCCAGACGAAAGGGTAAATAACCTTCTCAAATATTCTTCAAAACTTCAGGCCATGGCCTTTTTTGTCACGTACGACCATGGGACGAAAGCTCACCTGAAATCCGAAGGACTGAAGCAGCTGAACCTCGCCCGGTTCTACCCACCCACCCTCAGGGCCGACGGCAACTAGCACGCCAACATCCGCCGGATCGCATCCTTTTTCAGACGGGAGAAGCGCAACAGCGCGTCGAATGACCCTTCCGTAAAACACAGGCGAAATATGCATACTCCAGAGTAAGTTCAACTCGAAACTACGTCTACTCCAATACCATGACACGTGGTACGTTTCCAAGTCAACTTTGTTCCCTCTTCCTCTGCATGTTGCCAACTCTGAAGAGCGATGCAGACTGCGAGAGTAGCTCTTCGATGGTTCCAGTAGTATGCACGGCGCCAACACGGGTGACAACTGAGTTTTTTTTTCGCCAAAAACGCCCTTTCGCATCGCCACTTGTGCTCGCCCCCCCTACTTCCATTTCATTCAGCACGTGGGCGGTATCCCTCAATTTCACTGTAGCTCCCTCGCGGTCGTTCAGGGCAACCTCCTGATGGTCTCTACCCCGTGCGTAGCAGGGTGTCATTTTGTTACCACCGTACAGACCTTGCCCTTGACGAAAGTCGCGTAGTACGACATTTCAAAGCAAATCTGCCACTGCTCATGCATCAAAGCTGAGCCGGCGATGCCACCTGAGGGGTCCTTTCTACCATTCTTCCACGAGGGGCTCGTCCAGCGCCACATGCTGGCCCATGCTGTTGGTGTCCACACATAGCCTATGAGAACTGCAATGTCGAACAATTAGCGCTCTACATGAGTCACCTTTTGGGGGCTCGATTTGAGAGAACCTTAGTGCCGGCGCCGGTGTCGTCGCAGCACCATCGCTCTCCACGCCATCAACCCGTCCAATTTGCGTGGTAGCGGCGACTACACCCGCTTCTACCCCCACACCCTCTCCCCCCGCTACTGTTGCCGCCGCGGTCGCCTCGCCTCCAGCACATCGGGCTACTTGAGCAGGCAGCCTCGTGGGATGTGCCAAGGCTCTCACCCATCGATCTCGCGGAAAACACCGATCTAAGTCGTCTTCAAGAAAAATATTGAGGCGACGGGCCACGATAACCTCGGGCAAGACTGTGTCGCCCGACTTGTAAAGAATATGCAAACCAGCGGCATTGTAGGTTGCATGGTCCAACACGCGGAACGAAGACAAGGGAGGGGGATTGTGATGAGGGAAATGTGTCCCATGCTATAGCAGCGTCCTTGGCTGCCCGACCAAGCTGGACTCCTTACCACAAACACTTGACGCAATAATCGTGCAGCACCCTTCTCCACAATACTGTTGTACCGCAGACCAATATCTCACCAAAGGCTGCACGGTTTTCCATGTTGTCGAAATGCTTTACTTGACGAAAAACACGAACCTCATCACTCACCTGCGACAGTCCTTCAATGAGCTTTGCCCTCACGCTCAACGGGTCTCGAAAAAAGTGCGAGCCAAAGTAGAATTTAGGTACCTGCAATTGAGCGTGCATACCGTCATCGACTTTGGCCCTTTTCGAAGGAGAGCTGATTCCGTCAAGGAAACGACCAAAACACCGACGCGCCATTCGAGCTCCGCAGCGCAATATACGCCCGGAGCAGTACCTATTCACGCTTACGGTCGTGCGCCAGTGGTCAGCACGCGCGGTGGGCACTCGTTGACAGCAAGCTTATCGACAGCCGCATTGAAAAGTCAGACTACTGCCAATTTCGAACCCCACCCAACTTCTTCCCACCCCATCTCACCTTTTTCGCCTGGCACAACACGATTGTGGTCACCCCTAAGCTGGCAACAACTGGCAAGATACGTTCGAGCTTGAGCGGCCGCGGGACGGCCAGCATAAGAGCCACCCTGCACACCGCCAGTGGCGAACGAATAGCGGGCGGTGGGAAAGCATGAGAGAAACACGAAGTAGATGGCAGGCTTTCACTCCACTGGGTGGCAATATCTACAAAACATACTATCTTCCGAAATAGAAATACAACAATTTCTTCTCACTTCGGTCGTTGCTCATCCGGCACCGGCTTGAGTAGCTGCCGATCGCTCGGGCCGAGATCTAGAACTAAGTCCATCCACTTTGGGGACGATTTTCGGTCCTTCTGTCTCCCCGGCACGTCTGGGGGCGGTGTACCTTCTGGCGGATCGGTCGGGTCTTCCCAGGTGATAGAAGCGTCATCCATCCTATTCGAAGAGCAAACCCGCGTGTGGCACGGCAGGTCAAAATGAGATGAAGGCCTTGCGGATCACAACTCTTCTGACATGCAAAAGGCAACCGCGTCGTACGAACAAGCAAGCCTATAGTCTCCGTCAGCAGCTTCGAGATGCGGAAAGCGTGGACGAGCGACAGGCCAAAGGGGTCTCACCGTCCCGCGTTAACCACTCCGACGCGAACAGGCTCCCCGTTCTCCACCTTCAGCACACCTCTTACATGGGCGGTTCGGCTGTCTGCAGCGGGTAGTGTAGCAGATAGGTTTCCTTCTTCATCCCTCACCACCTCAGCCGGCTCAAGCATAATCCTGAAAAAGAAAGGATATGGGGCGGGAGTACGTCGTGTCTAGAGGGAATCGCAAGGCGAACAAAAAGGAGTTTTTGTACTCGAGATACATGTCTGTTCGATGTTCGAGCCCAAGTTCCTCGCGCACTTTGTCGGAGTTCGACTGCGAAGGGCGAGCACACGCAAGAGGCTTAATGTATAAATACAAAAACACGTCTTTTTTGTCGGTCCGCGAATTCCTGCACAACCCAAGGATTTCCTCACATCCCAAAAAAGAGCAGAAAACCGGGGGCGTTTCCCGTGAAAGGTTGAGAGTGAACCTTCGCAAACAGAGCACAGCAGCAGTCATGTACATACGAACCATTAAACGAGGACACAAGAATAAAGGCAAGATCACGGCGAGTACGTATTGTCGCCGAGAAAGCTCATAAGAACGGCCACGCCTCGCGAGTCTAAAACTAACGCCGCAATCGGTGCCGTCTCTGACCTACATCGACCTCGTTTCTGTGCACTGCTTTGAAACGTGAAGCTCTGTCCTTGACCGTGCGTAAAGGGGGACCCAACCTATTTTGATGTCGACTGATTTTGAAAGAAACCGCAAAACACCAAAAAATGCACACGAGACACACAAAACCAGTCGGAAGGCATCGAGACAAACATAAATCGTTCATTCTCGCACTGGGCGGCAGTACAGTAGAGGCTACTCAAAACAACCACATCATGATTCTACTTCCACGCCTGCCTTGATTCAAGATCAAATTCGCACTAGCCTACAAACGGCAGGCGCTCAAATAAGGTCAGTTTAACATTCCAACTGTACCTTGGCACTGATATCACTACGAAGAGGACATCCTATAGCAGCGGGGAGGATGTGTTGGCGCGCTCAAATCTGCTTCCGTGGTGTTGATATCGAGGATCGTGCAGTAGCAATGTCCTAAAATCTCCGCAAATTTCCGCAAAAGACCGCACCCTATGTCTTGTAATGCTTGTGATCGCCGCCACTGACCCCATTCTCCTGAACCGCGGGTTGACAGCAGCAGCCGATGTCACTAGCTACTGCTGACGACCCGCGGTTCAGGGCGTTTACGGTTGGTGGCGGTGAGCACTAGCAGTACAAGATACGAGTCCAAGACACTGAGTCATTGGGTGTCGGTCAAATGTGCGGAGATTTGCGGAGATTATAGGCCACTACATACTATGCATACGATCCTCGATATCACGACCCAACAAGCAAACCTGAACGTTCCAGCACACTCGTCATGGTGTCCTCTCCGAAGGATAGTACTGAGGTGAAGTTATCTAAAAACGGCGGGTAAGGTTGCTTTCTGTATATTGGATAAAGTGTGAACGTAGAGCCAGCGCCACAAGGGTTGAGTTCTCCAGAGTAGGACGAGAGCATTGCACCCAGAAAGAGTTGAGTTCTTGCAGTTCGGGTCTCTGAAATCCTTACTCCCCGTTAACATGCAATATATTTTGAAATAGGCTAATAATGTACTGCTACATCATGTCCTGTTGTCTACATACAGCAGAGGTCATGGACTGTTTGTTTCGACTGCTATGTATGCGTACAATGCTGCACCAGTATTTTTTTTTTTTCTCCCATCATTGGACTCTGTCGTCTGCCCCTCTGGCCCCTTTCCTCCACTTCTACCAGCTAGAGGACCCAACCGGGGTCACATAGAAGGGGGGGGTTGGACCCCCTCCTGCGGTTCCTGCCTGAGATATTTTTATCGCGAGAAGGGCGAAAGGCGTATATTCGCCAGCGCTGGCGAGATTCTTGCACTCGCCAGTTCAACAATTTTTGGGTTGTGGTTGGAGGTAGACACGAAACCAAAGCCACAGCAGGTTTCCGGCCCTCAGGCAGCACCAAGGCGCTGGGCCTCACTTGGCCTAACCCACCCCACACAACCCTAACCCTACCCTAACCCAAACCCAACACCCCAAGCTAGGTTGTTGTGCAGTGGGTAGGCCTAGGTCGCTGTACCGAGCTACTGGAGCGTGCAATAATCTCGCCAGCGCTGGTGAATGTAACCCTCGTCCGAGAAGGGTACAGCAATCCAAGCAATGTACAGCAGAATGCAACCCATTACCGGTCGCCCCGGTGGTCTAGTTGGTAACCTCCACCCCTTCTAGACGTCAGGTCAGGGTTCGAATCCCGGCGTAAGCGAGCTTTTCTTGCAAAGTGAGTTTTTCTCTCGCTTCCGCTCCTGGCCTAGTGGATAGCGCTAGTTCGTGTGTACACAGAGGGAAGAGAGTGCTGAACTCTTCTCGCATAAAAAATCAATACCGCAGGAGGGGAGGGTAGAGAGGGGCTCTTCTGTGTGACCACGGGTTGAAGTAAATGGCACTATAATAGTGCCGTGAGATCTGATTTGAAGTGAAGACAAAAAAAAAAAATCAACGGCCGCATACTCTTATTTCCACCAACCGGTTCAAGCAGCGCACCACCAACCGCCGCGGCCCTGCATTGGGATCGCATAGACCATCTCGCCAGCGCTGGTGTATGTTGTTGTTGTTGTTGTTGTTTCTCACATCAGCTCTATAGACTAGTCCGTGGTCTCAAAACCCGGCACACACGACGCCGCGGGGAAACAAAACAAAAATAGGGTACAGGGTTTATGTACGCCTCGTCCGAGAAGGGTACAGCAATCCAAGTAATGTTACGCAGTATGCAACCCAAGAAAATCAACGGCCGCATACTCTATTTCCACCGACCGGTTCAAGCAGCGCACCACCATCCGCCGCGGCCCTGCATTGGGATCGCATAGACCATCATATCGACGCTCTCGGGTGATGCAGCATCTTTGCGGCTGCCTCGGACGAAGGTGGTGGGGGCCGGGGTGGCCGGTCATGGTATGCATCATATGCAAACGTACGCGACCAGCATGATGAGAGAGCGTTCCTCCTCCTCTAATGCTCCGTGCAAAAGTAGTTTGCAAAGAACGCCATGTGACGAGGCTCGCTGCCCACATCCTCCACCAGGCGAACCTCCCTGCTCACTGCTCTGTATAGCACCCTGCCCTGTGCCTGTACGTTGCTCACTGTTGCTGTGCAGTCACCTTGTGCGGTCAGGGGCTCCGCGCTATACATTCATGTCTCACAGACGTACGTGTACCCCGCGACTCTGGGTCCGCGGGTGATACACCGCACCCCCATCCCACCCATTGCACGTTTGGTTTGATTTGTGTGTGAGCTCATCATTGTATTGGTTGTGCTTCCGCAAGACTCACCACTCGAATAGCTGACATGGCGACTCGCCGGGGAGATCGCGATGCCGGACGGCTCATACTCACGAACGCGACCCCGTTCTTGTGGAAGAGGAGCCTGAAGACTCCGAAAGGCATGAGGCTTTGGTCTTTTCCCAAAGAGGTCGATCCTGGAGAAAGCGTGGAAGTCGAGATTGCTTTCTCCAGAAGAGCCAACGTGCACGGACAAGCCAGTTACCAGGTATCTGCGCAACCTTGACTGTAGGCACCTGAACCGCGTTTTAGCTAGGATGACTTTAAATCCACGTGCCCTAGGTATCTATCTACCGAGCAATCGCGACGCGCTGGACATATTATTGCGCGGAAAATATGTTGTGCGTGTGTGTGTTTTGGCGCGCAACATTACGGTAGATGATGCGGAGACACGTGGCAGCAATCTCAACTCTTGGGTCCTTGCCCCCCCTGCCTACGCTGTCTCCTTCAACAACCTGGTGCTCAATGCTTTTGCTGCTGAGACACTGGTGTTGGTACCGTTTACATTTGGCCGGAGTGTTTTCAGAGCATTTTTGTCAAAGTAAACAATAGAAAGCTCGAGGTGACATCATCATGTGGAGACTTGTTGCCCCCTCGTCGGGCAGCCCGGTCTTGGAATATTTTGCCACCCGCGGTTGGTTGACTTGGGAATGCCTGCTGCGTCTTCCTGTCCCCGCCGTCTCGCGATGAAGGTCTGTGGACCTTTCCGTCCCTCCGAGAGGAGAGATGTGTGCTGGTCCCGCACGAAATATCCCATCGTGAGAGGAACGTCGGAAAATTGCTGCTCGCTGAGAAGCAAGTTGAAGTTTGTTTTTTCTCGGGCCTCCAGGGTCAGCAAACGGCCGTTACTGCTGTAAATTAGTCCCGGACTTTGCCTTGGTCCCAGGCAGCGCGCGGCGCGTGCAGCATGTAAAAATCGAGCTCTGTGTAAGTCAAACAGACGACCCGGGTCAGTGCCCAGGAAAAAGACACTACTGTCGACGAGGGACACTGAGAGAGGAAGGACATGGAGGAAGGGCGGAGCGATTGCACATACAAAAGACGACCACCTCCCAGGGACAAGATCGTCAAACACTCGAAACATCAAACCATCTTTCTCGCACGACCAAAAACAAGGTGTCTCTACCTATGCTACGGTAGTAGACACACAATGTGTTCCCGACACGTCGTGGTCTTTTCGATTCATCGGGCAGGTTCGTGCGGAGCAGTTCTCCCTGCTTTGTTCGCCGACCGATTGGGCAAAAAAGCGGTTTCTTACGGTTTGAAAAATTCCGGTTGAAAAATTGAAATTTTCAATTCCCAGCCGAACAGAGCTTCGTACGGTTTGAAAAATCGATTTTTTTGAGAAATAAATTTTCAACTCGGGCCAAAAAAAAATTGGAAACGCTCTGCGCAGTTGAAAATTTCAGCAATTTTCAAGTCGCGACCGAGTTGAAAAAGCTAGTTGGAAATCCAAACCTAGGGGGGGGGGTGCATCGCACAGACCCCCCACCACACCTGCTTTGGTCGCTGGAAGCACCCGACAGTGCACAACAGCGCACCACAAAGCAGCACAGCACAGCACAGCACAGCGCGTGATAGCCTAGCACAGCGCCTCACACGCGCAGACCCGGTGTTTTTGTTGTCAGCGCGGTGCGCCCGATGTATGGGGACCGGCGACGATCTGTTGGAAGCAACAGTGCTGTCAGTCGCGTTGGCGGCTTTGCCCCAGATCCAAGAGGAGGATGATCGCCGGCGCACAGCACGCTCAGTATCCTATTGGGATGCTGTGCTGTTCGACGAGGATTCGGAGGACGAGGAGGAAGTCGTCGGCCCGAAGGTTAAGAGGACACGACGCGTCACGCAGCGGAGGGATTGACGTAGCAGCAGCAGAGCATCGGAGTAGTTGTTCGCGCCTCGCAGCAGCAGTGGTTCCACTAGCGGCATGATGTTGCGTGGTTTGACTAGCGGCATGATGTTGCGTCGTCTGGCGGGGATGTAATTGTAACCGCCCCCCCCCCCAGAGTGTACGAAAAGCGCGGTCATGCTAGACGGAGAACTGTCTAAATTCTTCGACATTGAGCAGGGGGTCCCACAAGGTTGCACGCTGTCCCCAACATTGTTCCAGGTGTTCATCAACGATCTGTTGGAAGTCGTAGAGGCAGTCCGGAAGG